GGGGAGGGTCAGAGGGAGAAGCAGACTCCCTGCCGAGCAGGGAGCCGGATGCAGGACTCGATCCAGGGACTCCAGGATCATGACCTGAGCCGAAGGCAGTCGCTTAACCAACTGAGCCACCCAGGCGCCCTCAGATCACATTTCTGAGTGGCCATGGCTGAAGGCAGTGTTGGTGCACGTGTGAGTGTGGGTTCAGGGCATGATTGTGCCCCGCTGTGACTTGGATCATCGTGGACCCTTCCCCTCCCTCCTTGCCTGGGCGAGTACCTCTCTGATATACAGTCATCGCCCCACTCAGTACCCCCCGTCCCCCCTCCCCACACACACACTGATGTTCAAGGGGAGGGTGCCAAGGCCACCACCAGGCTCAGCCTGAGGCTCCAGAACACATTGAAACTCTCTTCTCCCTGGTGGCTCAGCCATCCTCACTCCCCACCAGTCCTTTTCTACTCTCTTCAGCCTCTGTCCCACCAACCTTAAGATCTGCATATGGCCTTCCCTGTCACTTTTCCTGGGAAAATAAGGGCCTGGCCCAGGCTACAGGGCCCTGTATTGTGGATACCAACTTTCCCTTTCCTGTCCTTCAGGGAAGCCCAAGTTTTCCTTCCAAAGCCAGCCCGCCACTTGGTCCTGGACCGCATCCCTCCCCCTGCAGGGACCCTATATCCTCTCCACTCTTCCCTCCCCAGTGCCTACAAAGGAGTTCCAGTCTCCCCTTTCCTTAAACACCTTCAGCCAATCTGGCCTCCTCCAAAGCCACTCTCCAACCCCCTCCGGCCCTTCTGTCCCACTCCCCTGCCTGTGTCCTAGCCAGGCTTGCCCTGACAAGGAGGCCTCACTTTTCCTCTGGAAATGCTCCTGGAGGCCACTGACATGGAAAGCCATACTCCCTCTAGCACTTCTCTCCTCTGGCCACAGACTCTTTTGGCTTCATGACTTTTCCTCAGCCCTTCCCTCCCACCCTCGTTCTCCATACTTACTGCACTCAAGTGCACTAGATACACCCCCTGCCCCCAAGGAGCAAGCCATCTCCTTTTCCTGGTCCCTTTCATGCCATCTGTGATGATTTTTCTTCTAGTCCCCTAGGTGTTTCCTAGGATGCTGGTTTTGAACCTCTTTCTCCCTTGGCAACCTCATATGCCGACTACCACCTCTAGTTAGATGACTCCTAAATCTCTCCAGCCTACCCCTCCCTCAACCTTTGGTTCCTCTTGGACATTCCACCTGCTCATCAACTGTACCCACCTCCACCTCAAGCAGGCATCAAGTGAACTCACTGCTGCCCCTTCTTCTGTCTCTGAGTCAGCCACCTACCCCTGCCCTGGGGAGCTCTCCAGATCGAGTCTGTTTGGCACATTTTGCCTCTAGGATCTCTACCATTTGCCTCCTGTCCATCTTGGGCCATGCGCACAGGTCTAGGCCCTCACAAGCCCATGCTGGAACTATTCCTGTAGCTTCCAGGCTGGTCTCTGTCCATGCTGCCCCTTCCTGTCCAGTCCCACCTCCCAGGCTGCAGCCACATTCATCATCCCAAAGCGTTGCTTGGATCTGTCTCTTCGTTGTTTGAAAAAAGTTTCTAAGCGTTCTATGGACCCTGTTGCCCACAAAATGCAATCTAAATCCCCTGGTCTGGGTTGGAGGCCTCCATAATCTGACCCCCAACCTCTTGCCCAACACATAGCTCAATCTCATGAGCTCTACAATTTAGCCATATTTGCTGTTCCCTAGACAGACTCAGTGCTCCCCGTTCCCCACCTCCCCCCCACCGCCCCATGCCCCTACTTTTGCTCATGCTGCCTTCCTTCTCTTTCAAGAATCCATTCTTTAGTTTTTGCACGAACTCAAACTGGGCATTCAAGGCCTACTTCAAATACCTCCTCTAAGGAATCTTTTTTATTTTCCCTTCTCGACACGCCAGCAGAAATGGTTCCTCGTCCTGTGACCTCTCACAGCTCCTTCTGTTATCTTATCTGCTTTGCGTGGGAGTTATCTATATACATTTCTCATTTCTGCAGGGGCAGCTTGGCTCCCTTGCCTCATTTTCTTTTCCCCATAAGACTTATCACAGAATGTTGTCTGTGGTTATTGCAGAATAGGTGCTCAGGAAGTATTTGACGAATGGATGGATAAAGCAATATATGATTGGGTGGGTGGGTAGATGGTTGGTGGATGGATGGATGAGTGGATGAATGGAGGGATGGATGGACAAGTGGAGGAATGAGTGGATGGATGGATAGATGAATGGATGGATGGGTGGATGGGTGGATGGATAGGTGGGTAGATATATGGATGAATGAGTGTTTGGCTCTAAGGCTTAAGCCATGCATACAGCTAGTGTGACAATGGCTATTAACTCAGTAAAGATCAGGGGCGCCTGGGTGGCTCAGTCGGTTGAGCATCTGCCTTTGGCTCAGGTCATGATCCCAGGGTCCTGGAATCGAGTCCTGCATCGGGCTCCTTGCTCAGCGGGGAGCCTGCTTCTCCCTCTGCCTGCTGCTCCCCCTGCTTGTGCTCTCTCTCTCTTTCTGACAAATAAATAAAATCTTAAAAAAAAAAAAAAACACAGTTAAGATCAGAGAGGAGTGAAAGAGAGCTAACAGCTCTTTGAATATGTATTAGAGTTTATGCTGATCCTCAGACACCTAGTTATAAAAGCATTACAAAGTGAGAGCTAAGAAGGCCGGAGAAGGATAAAGCTCTGGAATGGAGTCCTTCCATGGGCACCAAATACCTAGTGTGACTCTGACAGCAAGGGACTTGTCTTGGAGAAAGCTTGACTCTAGAATTCCAAGAAGACTTGAGAAATGTGGCAGATTTTAGTCTATCCCCACAATGCACCTGGCACAGTACTAGCTAGGCACTTTGAACCATGCCAGTGCTGAAGACACAGTCATTTTCAGCTCCATGACTCTGGACAACTTTTTAATCTCTTTGAGCCTCAGTCTTCTCATCTGTAAAATAGGTCTACCTTATAGGGATGTTGGAGGGGATGAAACATATCATCCTTTTAAACTGCTTATTAGGGGAGCCCAGCTGGCTCAGTTGGTGGAGCATGTGACTCTTGATCTTGGGGTTGTAGGTTCGAGCCCCATATTGGGTGTAGAGATTACTTAAAAATAAAATCTTAAAAAAAATAAAGTGCTATCAAAGTACCTAGCATGAGCATTCAAAAAATGATGGCAATTGCTTTGTTATTTTGCCCTCCAGAAGTTAGCACTCATTCTGGTTAGTGAAAAAAACATGTTCCTGTTTTAGGCAACATATAATCAAGGGCTAAGTTATATGGGTCTTTTTTTCAGTCCCACTGGAATTCAGAGAAGGGTGATCAGAAGGACTAGAATAGTAGGGGAGGCCTCCGAGAGGAGGAGGGTTAGGATGGACCCTGAAGGACAAGTGGGATCTGGGAGACAAGGAGGTGGACAGAGAATAATGGAAGGGCATGCGCAGAAGCAGGAAAGTGGGAGTGAGGGCTGCTCGGGCAGCAAGCGGGTGGTTTTGGTGGTGGAGAGAGGGTGAACCGAAGAATGGTCTGATACAAAGTAACAGATGATAAGATTGGGGGCACCAATGGCCTCAGTCTTTCATTACCCCCTGCGGTAAAGAATGGCTATGAAAGAGACATCTAAGTTCATTAGTCCTTGAGGAAAAATAAATAATAATAGCTAATACTCAACATAGAATTTACAATGTTTTAAGCACTTTACCTGTTATAACTTATCTAATACTCAGAGTCTCGCCATGACATAATACTGTCTTCCATTTCACAGACGAGAAATGTGAGGCACAGAGAGAGTAAGTAACTTGCCCAAGGTCACACAGCTGCTGAGTAGCAGAGTCTATACTCACCCCCAAGAACTCCAGTCCAGAGCTCATGCTTTTAATCTCTACCTTATGCTGCCTCTTCCCTGTACCTGCTGTAGCCATCAGCTCTCTTCACGGCCAGCAAATGGAAAGATAGTCCCACTGCCACCATTGCTGGAAGCTCAGCCAGGCATTCGCTGAACAGTTATTATGTGTCCAGCACAAGGGGCAGGGGGAGTTTTGCTAAGGGAATTAGCGATGAAGGCTGAAGGTGAAGACACCAAGACATGGCCCCAGGGAACTCATAATCTACTGCAGCAGACAAGACCCAGCTCTCTAGGAGCAAAGAGAGAGCAGTGTGGGGCGGGATGGCTTCCTGCTGAGCCTCAGGGGTGCTGTCCTGCAGTGAAGCAACCGTACAGAGGGCAGAGGGCAGCCGCGCGCAGGCGTCCTGAGAAGGCTTCGGACAGCTGGGATGTGGCCTCGGCCCCAAATCACATGCCTGCAAGTGAGACTGACTGCTGGACAGGGACAGGGATGTGGGGGCTGTGGGCTCCCTGCAGTCTCCACTCCCATCCTCCCTGTAGTGGAACCCCGGGCAGGGGACAGGGACAGGGACACAAGGGATGTGGGCTCCCTCCAGCCTCCCCTCCCTTCTCCGTGGCACCCCGCCCCCCACCCATGACCTGACCACTCATGCCAAGTCAGTTTGGCTCCATCCCATCCTCCCCGTCTGTCCACCTCATAGGTTCAGTAGGACCCTCTGGGCTATGAGACAGAGGGGCGCACAGTGGACAATGGATTGAGGGGGGAAGAGGGCCAGGGGCCAGCAGAGAGCCAGAGAGAGAGGCCACGCGGCAAGGGCCGTGGGGAGTGAGAAGCGGGGCGTGAACCCGGCCTGCGGGCCCAGGGCAGGGCAGGGCCCGGCAGGTGTGACAAAGCAGGAATGTAGAGGCTGCACCGGAACGGCTGACCCCTGTAGTCATTTCCTTTCCAGCCAGAGAACAATGGCTCAAAAACAAGTGCAGCCCCTCCGCTTTCCCGCCTCGCCGTCCCCACGCGCGCTGGCCTTCCCGGGGCTGAGCGAACGGAAAGCCGGAACCCTGGAGGGCGCTGGCTCCCTTCCGCCCTGCTCTCCCGAGCTCCCTTAGATCCGGGGCCCCACCGCCCTCACCCGCACGTCCTCCCTCCCCTCGCAGGCCCGGCACTCGGTCCGCAGCCGGAGAGTCACTGAGGGATGAGGACGCCACAGCCCGGCGGACCGCACTTTCTGCTCTCGTGGCCCCGAGCGCGCGGCGCCCAGGAGCCGGGCCGAGCCTGACGCCCTGTCGTCTCCCCTCGCGCACGGGGCTCTGCGAGTGACCCGACCGGCCGGCCCCTTGCTGCATGGAGCGGCTGCAGAAGGTGCGCGGGGGCCGCCCCCACGTCCGGGCGGTGGCCTGGGCAGCGGGTGGGGCCAGGCTTCCCCGCCGAGGGTCAGGTCGGGAGTCGACGGTGCCACCTGGTGGCTGCCCGCGGCGCCGCCCGCCGGGTTCCCAGAGGCCTAGGGAAGCCCGTCCCCGCCCCCGCCCCCGCCGCCCCCTCCCGCCCTCCGGCCCGGGGCCCTCCGCCCGGTGGAGAGCCCTGCCCGCTCCCGGCCCTGGCACGCACGCTCATTCCCACCCGCCCGCCTTTCACTCTCCCCAGCAACCACTTACCTCCCCTGGGAGCGTCAGCTCCTCCCGAGGCTCCAGTGTTCCCGGCTCTCCCTCCAGCATCGTGGTGAGTACCTCTCGGCCACCAGCACCCTCAGGCCACCAGCACCCTCAGGCCACCAGCACCCTCAGGGAGGGGGTGGGGTGGGGGACACGCTGGGCCGCTTCACCCAGAGCCTCCCAGACCATGGTCCTGCCAGGGCTGCTAGGCAGAGAGAAGCCAGAAAGCCAGAGAAGTTTCCCCACATCCACCTTCTGCTGGTCTGGTCCTGCCTCGTTGTACCCGAAGTGCTAGGTGAAGGACTATCATTTTTTAAGGTGACTCTCTAAACCCTTAAAATTAAAACAATAGAATTATTAACTAATAGGAACTGGCATCTCAAATGGCTGCCTGTTTTCTTCCTGATAAATCGCAAGTCTAGTTCCTAAGGCCAGTACTCTAGGTGAGGCTTTCGGCACATCTGCTCCATTCCTACCGTTTCCCTTCAGGCCAAGATGGACAATCAAGTGCTGGGCTACAAGGACTTGGCTGCCATCCCCAAGGACAAGGCCATCCTGGACATCGAGCGGCCTGACCTCATGATCTATGAGCCCCACTTTACCTATTCTGTCCTGGAACACGTGGAGCTGCCCAGAAGCCGGGAGGTGAGGGGTGGGAGGCTCCTCTTGGACGGGACTTGGGGGAAGGGCTCCCCCAGCCGCACAGGGGAGAGGTGGAATCCCTCTCATGCTTCCTTTCCTGGAGGCCAGACTCCAAAACAAGAAAGGGAACTGTGGGCAGAAATCAACCAGTGGTCCAGGCAGTGTCTGTGGAGAGCAGGCAGAGACCGGCTGGAGGCTGGAAGGTAGTTCCATGTAGAGAACAGGGGAGGCCATGTTTGAATGGCAGCTGCACGGAGCTGGGGGCCGGGGCCGTGGAGGAGAAGCGTGGGAATGGACAGAAAGAGCAAATTGGCCCAAAGCCCTCAGGAACACTGGACTGGGAGGCTGGAAGTCCTCGCTGAGTGACCATGTGAAGGTGTGGTTTCAGCTTCCCCTCCTGTAGAATAGAGGTGATACATCTGCCCATCTACCTCACCAGCGATTTCAGTGCCAGAGATAACTCACAGCAACTACTCTGTAGACTGTCTTCCAGAAAGGGATAGTGTCACAGCTGAGCAGTGAGCTGGAGGCAGGCTGTGGGGAGACGTAACTGCCCTGCACGGAGCCCAGACTCCATCCTGGATGCGTGTGGCTCTTGGCCCTTCCCCCTGGGTGCTAGACTCTGAGGACAGGGCCAGAGCCACCTTCAGTTGGCCCTCAGAGCACAAGCACACTGCTGCAAGATCCATGCCTTCTTCACGCATCCAGAGAAAGAGAGGACTCTGCCTAGGACAGCGCTAAGAGGGAGAAGGATGGAGGGCCAGTGCTGGGAACTGGCAAGGACTGAGAGAGAAGACGTGGCTCAGAAATTGGCTGGGCAAGGGTGCAGAGTTGGGTGGGGGATGAAGTGGCCCCTCCGGGGTTCTAGGGATGAGCATTTCCCCCTACCCTTGTGGCTCTGACCAGCCTCCTCTCCATCCGCAGCGCTCACTGTCACCCAAATCCACATCCCCCCCACCATCCCCAGAGGTGAGTCTGCCCCACACCTGACACTTGCCCAGCTCCCCACCCCCACACAGATGCAGAGCCCACGGGATGACCTCATCCTGTCGCCGACCAGCTCTGGGTCCATCTGTCTGTCTGACCCAGGACCTCATTTAACCCTTACTCCCTGGGTCAGACACCATCAGCAGGTCGAGTCCTTGGATACCCTTCCTCTGCCCTGGGGTTGGGGGCTCATGGGCTGCTGGGGTGGGGGGACAGAGCTGGTGGAGTGAGGTGAAGCAGGGTCTCCATGGGTTGGAGAGGGCAGAGTGGGGGACCTGGGAGCTTCAGTCAACCACACTTCTGCTCTGCAGGTGTGGGCGGAGAGCCGGTCCCCTGGAACCATCTCTCAGGCTTCAGCCCCAAGAACCACCGGGACCCCCCGGACCCCCCTACCCCATTTCCACCATCCTGGTAGGTTTTACTGTCAGTGTGGTGGCACCCTTTCCCTAGGACCTCTTTTTCCTACAGGGACCCAAGCTTCTTATTCTCAATCCTCTACTCTCTGGGGTATATCCTCACCCTAGAATGGCCGGACCCCCTGATGCCAGGACCCCAGGCAGAACTCCCCAAAATAATGGGCCCTGTCATGCCTTTGTTCCCACCCAACGAGAAAAGTGCAAAAAGCCCCAACCCCCTGAGGGACAGTTCCAGAAACTCTGGTTCTGTCTTGGCTCTGGGCAGGAGCCTGTGAATTTCCTTGCTTTCTCCTATCCTGTTTGTGCCCTTCTCCTTACTGAGCTGGCCTCGCCACCATCAGCATATCCTTCTTCTCATCGGCTCTTGCTCCCTGTCCACAGAGACCACCCGCCCGGATTCCAACATCTACAAGAAGCCACCTATCTACAAGCAGAGAGGTGAGGGCTCCCCTCACTGAGCTGGGCTGGGAGGCCATGGGAAAAAGGCTGTTCATAACACACATAACCTCTGCCCTGTGCCCTTTGTTGTGCCATGTTTTCACACCCACGGTGCCACAGGTGTGAACAGGGATAGGAGAGGGAGTTGGGGGCTAGGGTGGGCCCAGGTGGCCTGGCTTGGGGTGGGGACTGACCCTGGCCTCCGCCTGCAGAGTCCACGGGAGGCAGCCCTCAGAGCAAGCACCTCATCGAGGACCTCATCATCGAGTCCTCCAAGTTCCCTGCAGCCCAGCCGCCTGACCCCAACCAGCCCGCCAAGATTGAAACCGACTATTGGCCATGCCCCCCGTCGCTGGCAGTCGTGGGTAGGAGACCGTGTTGGAGAGGGGAGGGGAGGCCCAGGACACCGCCTCACAGTCCCTGTTGAAGCTCCACGAACCCACCTTCTCTGCACTGCCACCCTATGTCCTTCATGACCCCCCTGGCTCATCACTATTCCCTGCCTTCCGCTAGCTCTTGGTGTCTGTGGCCCTGCTTGTTGGTCTTTCAGTCCCTTTCCATTCACTTACTGGACCACTCAGCAGACATTGACCAAACATCAGCATCCCAGGCTCTGTGATAGGAGCTCTGAAAAAGAGAAAAAGGAATGAGACAAGGTCTTGGTCCCCAGTGCACTTAGGTCGTGTGACTGTGTTGCCTACTTAGCTCTATCACAAGGCTAGAGAATGTTACTTTTCTTTTCTTTTTTTAAGGATTTTATTTCTTTGTTGTAGAGAGAGAGAGAGACAGAGATAGCAAGAGAAAGCAGGAGCAGGGAGGAGAGGGAGAAGCAGGCTCCCCACTGAGCAGGGAGCCCGACACAGGTCTTGTTCCCAGGACCCCAGGATCATGACCTGAGCCAAAGGCAGACGCTTAGCTGACTGAGCCACTCAGGTGCCCCTGTTACTTTTATTTTTATTTATTTATTTTTTGAAAATTTTTTCCTTTTTTTTTAAAGATTTTATTTATTTATTTGAGAGAGAGAGAGACAGAGATAGTGAGAGAGAGCACAGCTGGGAGGAGAGGGAGAAGCAGGCTCCCCACCGAGCAGGGAGCCCGATGTGGGGCTCGATCCTGGGACTCTGGGATCATGACCTGAGCTGAAGGCGGATGCCCAACTGACTGAGCCCCCCCGACGCCCCTCCTTTTATTTTTTACAAAATAATGTGTAGTGTTCCCTTGAAGGGGCAGCCCAGTGGCAGGCACAAAGCCAGCACCTGCTACGTGCTTGCTGAGTGAATGGTGGATTGACGAGCCTGCCTTTGCCGGTGTTCCCCAGAGACAGAATGGAGGAAACGGAAGGCATCTCGGAGGGGGGCAGAGGAAGAGGAAGAGGAGGAAGATGATGACTCCGGGGAGGAGATGAAGGCTCTCAGGGAGCGTCAGCGAGAGGAACTCAGTAAGGTAGCATCTCGCTTCGCCCCAGCCACCCTGCCCGTGTCTTCTTGGGGACAAAAGTCCCAGGTCTCTAGCTGTTCTGTTCTGAACGGTTTCGTGCCTGAAAAACATCCTCGTATGAACATGAGGAATTCCCCTTCTTCCCAGGACATCAGGTTGCTGCTACTGAAGGGACACCAGGATTTCATGCTGCTTTGGGGGAACACTAGTTAACTTGGGATTAAAGGAAAGAAAAGGGTGCCCACCTCCCAGTGCCAGGCTTCCGGGAGGCTAAGTTTGTGGGAAGAGGAGTAAGGAGAGCAGGAGAGAGGATGTTAGGAGTCATGGAAAGGTCACCGAGAGTGGCCTGGGCTGGTGCTCTGGGAGAGTGACCTGGGATGCAGAGGCCACTTGGATGCAGTTACACGGAGCAGCGCTGACTCCTTGCTCTCGAGGGTGGCCAGACCCAGCGTGGTAGCACCATCAGACCAGAGTGACAGGCCCCACGGGCTCCAGGGCACAGCCCAGCCACTCTGGAAACCTGTCCCCAGTCCTGCCTGCAGATACCCAGCTCCGATGGAGAGGAGAACTGAGTACGGAAGTCTTCCTCTCTCCTTCCCCAGGTTACTTCCAACTTGGGAAAGATGATCTTGAAAGAAGAGATGGAAAAGTCATTGCCTATCCGGAGGAAAACCCGCTCTCTGCCCGACCGGACACCCTTTCATACCTGTGAGTGCCACGGCCGGGACCCCCAAATCACCTGGCCAGACCTCGAGGCCAGAACCAGAGTCTGAGTCTGCCTATCATATGGGGGGACAGGGGACAGAAGATCAAGGCATTCATGCTCTCCTTAGGGCAAGGATACCAGTCATGGAATAAGACTAGATGATAAAGATACTATCAGCTAAAGCAGAATGAGCCAATTTCATTTCATTGACCAAACGTTTATTGAATGTCTAGCATATGCTAGACACTGGGGATTAGAAAGAGTCAGAAATATATTCTTCTTCAGTAGCTTCCAGTCCAGGAGGAAATTGACATGGAAATTAAATGGAAACTGGGGTCAGTGTAGTGGGGCCATGCTGTGATGACATGAGAGGCACACAGTGAGTGCTTCGAGGGGACCATGACAGGGCCTGGGGCCAGAGGGCTGTGGGGGGGGGGGGTAATTAGGTCTGGAAGAGAGAGACAAAGTGAGTGGGGGAGAAGGGCACTGCGGACACTGGGGACAGCATGGGCCCAGAGGCAAGGAACAGGAAACATTCTGGCCAGCTTACAGGACCTGCAGGAGCCTGCAGTTCCAGAACCCAGAGTGGGCCTTGGGGTGGCAGGGATTAGCCAGAGAGACGGGGGTGGCCTGAGCTTTGGGTACTAGCCTCAATCATTTGAGTCTAGTCTGGACTTCCCTAGAGCAGCACGGCTGGAGCTGAGGGAGGGAGATGTGAGAACCCAAGCTGAAACTCTGAGGCCTCTAAAAGCCTAGCCTCGGAGCCACGGAGCATCACTCCTCCTACCTCCTGTTGGTCAGAGCAGCTCAGGAGCAGCCTAGACTCAAGGGAGGGGAGAGGCATTCTTCGGAGACACTCCACCGCATTTCCCAATAGGCTGGGTAAGGGCTAAAGCTGTCCATAGGTCCAGAGAAGGGCAGGGGGGTTTAAAAAACATGTAGGAGTTGGAGTCAGCCGAACGGAGATGATGAGGGAGGGGGCTTGGGGGAAGAACAAAAGGACCAGTTTGGGACATGCTGGCCTCGAAGCACATGTAGGTGGGAGCCAGGTCTTACTGAGTTGGAAGCTTGCAGGGCAAGGTGAGTCTTCAGCTTGTGTATAGTAGTAAGACCTTGAGAGAAAAACGGCATCACGGAGAGAAGAGAGGGAAGGGAGGACGTCGAGGCTGTGCCCTGGAGCGCTCCCGCCCCCAGCGAGATCCGGATGCGGAGGCAGGCCTCCGGCCTCCTCGAAAAGCCTCTTGCTCCGCAGGCTGGGGACTTGGGTCTGGGAGCGGGTGCCAGGAGAAGTTGAGGTTGTCTGCTGAGCAGAAGCAGGGTGAGGCTGGGTGAGGTTGGGAAGGTTTGGACTAGCCGCCGCAGGGAAGGGGCCCTGGTGCACCGTGGTCCGTCTGTAGTGAGGGAGTCTAGCAGCGTGGGCTTTATCTCCATGGCCCGCCGGCAACAGGCTGATCCAGGGTTAGGGCTTGATAAGGCAGGCGCCGAGGGAGGAGGGGCCGGGGGAGCTGCTGACCCCCGGGGCGAAGGTCGGGGGTGGCGGTGGGGAGATCAAGACCCCGGAGGTCCGCATGACACGAACAGATGTGTTGGGAGTGAGGCCGAGGGGAAGCGGCAGACAGGGAAGGGCGTGGCGTGGTGGCTGCAAAGTGGGATTCCCGGGCTTCGGAGGGCAAGGTGCAGCCGTTGTGGACAAGACCCCGGGTGGTCGTTTGAAGGGGCTGCCTCATGCGGAGTGGAGCTGGAGGCCACCGGCGTGTGGGATTCAAGGAGCCGTAAGGGCCGTAGGTACACAGACATCCACAGAGTCACTGAGAGCACCCAGGATGATATTTCAGTATGAGTGGGAGGAGTTACGATAGGGCCATTTTAGAGAACGTAGACTAGCGAAGGCCTCAGGAAAGAGGCAGATGGAGAGATGCCCCGAAGGTTGGATTCAATCTTTGTGTTCCACCCGATTTTGCTATTCAGTCAAAATTAGCTTTTTAACTTCCATTTCGGCCTTGCAAAGTAGAATAGCCAAATGTCTACCTCATCATCATTTTTGGCATGCCTGAACTTGTATGTGACCTGTGAACACATGATTGCATAGGTTACGGTCATAGCTAATCAACCTCAACAATTTCAGAAGTTTTTTTAAAGGTGTTTTTTTTTTTTTTTTTACTTATTAGAGAGAGAGAGCGTGTGAGCAGGGGAAGGGCAGAGGGAGAGAGAAAATCCCAAGCAGACTCCATGCTGAGCCCGGAGCCCAATGTGGGGCTCGATCTTAGGACCCTGAGATCATGACCTGAGCCTAAAGCAAGTCGGACACTTAACCTACTGAGCCACCCAGGTGCCTTCAACAATTTCAGAATTATGAACAGGCATGTCATTCTTTGTAGTAACATTGAAGTGGTCACTTTCAAACATAAATAAGCATTCTAAAAGTAATTTGAAGTGAAAATTTTATGTGTTTTGTAGGTTGAAATTCTATCAGTCACTTGAAATGTAAATGTATACTTATTCTCACAAAAGTGAAATGCTGGGGCACCTGGGTGGCTCAGTCTGTTAAGTGTCGGCCTTCAGCTCAGGTCATGATCCCAGGGTCCTGGAATTGAGCCCCAAATTCGGCTCCCCTGCTCAGCAGGGAGTCTACTTCTCCCTCTCCCTCTGCCCCTTCCCCTGCTTGTGCTGTCTCTCTATCAAATAAATTAAAATCTTTTTTTAAAAAAAGTGAAATGCTTCAGTAATGAATGATCTTTGTAGAAAGATAATTTCCTGCACAAAAGTATTAAAAAAAGTATTAAGAAAAGAAAAACGAGTTCCTCAAAACACATTTTGTTCTCACCAAACTTCCAAACAACAGCTTTTAAAAGGATGTTTTAAGAAGACAATTTTGATAGTTTTGAATCTATCAAGGCTAAACCTTCAAACAAAAATGTTTATCGGGATGCCTGGCTGGCTTAGTCAGAGGAGCGTGTGACTATTGATCTTGGGGTCATGAGTTCGAGCATTTCATTGGGTATAGAGATTACTTACTTAAATAAATACACTTTAAAGATGTTTATCAGGGCACCTGGGTGGCTCAGTTGGTTAAGCGACTGCCTTCGGCTCAGGTCATGATCCTGGAGTCCCCGGATCGAGTCCCGCATCGGGCTCCCTGCTCAGCGGAGGGTCTGCTTCTCCCTCTGACCCTCTTCCCTCTCGTGCTCTCTGTCTCTCATTCTCTCTCTCACAAATAAATAAATAAAATCTTAAAAAAAAAAAGATGTTTATCAAAATGATTGCCATAGAATGCCAATGATTTCAAGCACTTGGATATGAAAGAGTTTTGCGATATGGCCAAACTAAGAATCTTTTTTTTTTTTTTTAAAGATTTTATTTATTTATTTGAGACAGAATGAGAGAGAGAGAGAGCACATGAGAGGGGGGAGGGTCAGAGGGAGAAGCAGGCTCCCTGCCGAGCAGGGAGTCCGACGCGGGACTCGATCCAGGGACTCCAGGATCATGACCTGAGCCGAAGGCAGTCGCCCAACCAACTGAGCCACCCAGGCGCCCCAAACTAAGAATCTTAATTACAAAGTTCTTTTTAGGAAAACCTGTTAACTGAAACCAGTTTTCTTGAGTTACAATCTGCGGTGCAAGAAAGCTAAGTGATATCATGAAATGTGTAAGTTGAAAGTTACATCTGATCTTGCAAATGGGAAATCTATATATATAATTTTAAGTAAGCTTTACACACGCTGTGGGGTTTGAACTCGAGACCCCTGAGATCAAGAGTCCCATGCTCTGCTGACTGAGCCAGCCAGGTGCCCCACAAATGTGACGTATATTGACTGCTGGTACAGTCTAGCAGCTGATGGTGCAGAGGAAATGATCATTTCTGTATTGTATCATCAAACGTCTGAGATTTGATTACTAATATTGCTAATAATAAAATTGTAATGATTCAATTATTTTGACTAAATTTCAGATATATTTTTGTAGCCCAGAATTTCATTTTATGATGGTGAGCCTCATCCTCTGGCCATCATTGGCTAACTATCAATTTTAACACTCAAGCATTTCACCCAGGTGTGTGTGTGTGTATTTATTTATTTTTTTAAATATTTTATTTATTTATCTGAGAAAGAGAGAGCACAAGCAGGGGGGAGGAACAGAGGGAGAGGGAGAAGCAGGCCTCCCACGGAGCAGGGAGCCCGATGCGGGGCTCAATCCCAGGACCTTGGGATCATGACCTGAGCCGAAGGCAGATGCTTAACGGACTGATCCACCCAGGCGCCCCCAGATGTGTAGTTAGTTAGCTCAGAGCCGGCTGCACAGTGCGACTTGCAGAAGGTAATGGGCAGGAGCCAGAAGCCAACAGGGGCCCCCCCGGGCCCCCCAGGTCCATGTTTCACTGCCTTGCTTCTGGCAGGGGAGACCAGGGAGGCAGCCCTCTCAGGAATGATAGACCAAAGGCACTGAGTGGGGCCTCTTGCTCTCTTGCAGCCTTGCATGCAGGCACATCGAAGTCGTCTTCTCTCCCCGCCTATGGCAGGACCACGCTGAGCCGGGTAAGGTCCCAGACCAGAGATCACAGACCGTGAGGGAAGTGTGCCTTCGGGCACCTCAGAGGGACTGAGCTACTTGGGCACCCTGGGGGAGCAGTGCCGAGTTCTCCAGCCTCCTTCTGATCCCTTTGTGTCCTTTCTAGCTACAGTCCACAGACTTCAGCCCCTCTGGGAGTGAGACTGGAAGCCCAGGTGAGAGGCAGGGCCGCCCAATGCCAGGCGAGCTGGGAACGGGGCCTCAGCAGGCCCCAGGGCAACCCGCGTCTGTGATGTGGGCAGGGCTGTGGCTGGAGGTCGGGGAGGCTGAGCTGGCAGGTTTGGAGGCCTGCTGACCTTAGGGCTGCCTCTGGACAATGATTTTTGTCTCCCACAGGCCTGCAGGTGAGTGCCTTCTGGAGGGAACACACCGAGCAGCAGAAGACATGGACGGGTGACTGGAGAGTTGGGGGGGGTGGAGGGTGTGGGGCCACAGAACTCCATGGTGAGGACACAAGAAGCCAGGGTAAGGCTGGGGAGGTCTCCCTGCCCCACTCTGGCTCACTGCGGCTTTGGTCTCCCCAGAACGGAGAGGGCCAGAGGGGGAGGATGGACCGGGGGAACTCCCTGCCCTGTGTGCTGGAGCAGAAGGTGAGGGGCAGGGGCAGAGCCAGGGGTGGGGGGCAGGGGACAGAACCATCTGCAGTGGGGGTGGGCCAGCCAGCCGGTGGGGAGAAGCCAGGGAAGTGAATGCACTAGGGGTCGATGATGGGAGGGGCAGCAGGGAAGTTGGGAAGATGGTTGGCAAAGATGGCATGAGCCCCAGTGGCCCTTGCAGGCTGATAAGGGGCCCAGGGAGTTGAGGGGGTTATGGTGACAGGAGACTCTATGGTGACAGGAGACCCCCGCCCCTCTCCCTCAGATCTTTCCCTACGAAATGCTGGTGGTGACCAACAAGGGGAGAACCAAGTTGCCTCCCGGTGTGGATCGGATGAGGCTTGAGGTATGCAGAGGAAATGTGTGGGGGAAATCTGGGGCCTCTTTGAGTGCTCCCTTGGTCAGTTGGCCCTGCCCCGAGCCCCTGTCCCTAAGCTGCCTCCATATGTCCCCTTTCCAGAGACACCTGTCAGCCGAGGACTTCTCAAGGGTATTCTCTATGTCTCCTGAAGAGTTTAGCAAGCTGGCCCTGTGGAAGCGGAATGAACTCAAGAAAAAGGCTTCTCTCTTCTGACCCCCCCCCCCCGCAACTCCATGACTGACGCTCTCCCCTTCTGCTTCAGGGCTCTGGAGCTGGGGCCACTAGACCCCAAAGCATCATCTCTTCGGGGAGCAGGGCGGGGGGACGGAGGTAGAGTTGGCTCCATTCCCCAGGTGAGGGGGAGCCAAGACCTCTGCAGTGCTGGGGCTGTGGGACATGAACTTGCTTCCCCACAAGGAGCCAGGGGCCCCCTTCCCTCCTCCCTGGTCCTCACCGCACAGGGCAAACCCAGTCTGGAGCCCAGCACACACAGAGATAATGTTTGCACCCTCTCCCCACCCCACCCCCACAGGAAGGTCCCCATAAGAGAGTGACGAGAAAGGAAGGCAGCACTTAGTGGTCAGGCATGTTGGCGTCTTGACCAATGGGTGGGTAGAACCCTCGGGCCTGCTAGGAAGAGGGTGAGGGTGGGAAGCCGCCAGGCAGGCAGGGAGAGCCGCAGGACTCTGTGCACCCAAGCACGCCTCCTCACCTCACCTTGGACAGCTTCCCCTGCACCGGGGCCTCTGGCTTCCCTGACTCTTAGCAGGAGCAGCTTGAGCTCAGCCTCTAGCAACGAGGTCACCCTGTCCTCCAGCTCACCATGTTCTCTCCTCGTGACTCCTAAGCTTCAAAGCCTCTTGCTCCAGCCCTGTGGCTTCCCTAGAAGCCTTGGCTTAGAGTGGAGATGTTGCAGAACCCTGGCCCACCGTCAGCCTCCAGGCAAAGTCAGCTAGACTTCTAGCACCCAGGTCCTGGCTAGAACCAGGACCTTGGACGGGATCAAGAGGCCAGGCTGAGTGTCCTGGCTACCAGGTCCTGCCCATACCCCTGCATCCCCACCACGCTGTCTAAAGAATGTAATTTATTGGGGCACCCCCCAGCTGCTTTCTCTCCTGACTCTCTGCCCTACCTTAATCACACTCCCAGCTTCTCTTCTCTACAGATACATATGTGTATATAATTATATATATATTTTTGCCTGGGTCTGGGTTTTGTTCCTGCCCAGACCCTGGCATCCCTTTCCAGTGTGTGTGTGTGAGCTAATGCTGTGGGAGGGGGACTCCGCTTGGAATTAAAAGGTTGCATTGGGTCCCCAAATCTATTTGTTCTTTCTGAGCCACCAGATCTGGGTAAGAGGGAGCGGTGATGCCAGGCTGAGGGAAGGCTTGGGAGTGAGGGTTCAAATGGGGAGCCCTGAGGGTTGGAGGAGATGGGAGACAGCGCCCCACTGTCCTTCCCGCAAGCCCGGGCCTCGGAAGCAGGGCTGGCCTAGCAGCGTCCCAGCTGCTGCCCTTCTTCAGGGGCTGTGCGAGCACAGAGGTGTGGAGGAAGGGCAGACAGTCACGCTCTGGAGACTGATACGAAAGCCAGCTGGGGGCAGAGGCTGCTTGTCCTGTGCTGAGGCCCTGAACGCTCAGCTTGGCAGTCAAGCTCATCAACATCTGACATGACTGCACCCTCCAGGGCCTGATACTCCCAGTCTGATGGGGGGGCCAAACACAGAGAAGGTCAACAGTGCATGAGTAGGCGGTCAGGCGACTACTGAAGAGCAGGCAGGGAAAACCAAGCACTGGAGAACCTATGGGTGAGATCAAGTGGTCCGCAGGTTCAGTGGAGGCTGAGGGAGGAGCGGGTACCATGGTCTTGGGTGACTTGGCAAGGCCTCCCAGGGGGGCACAGACAGGGAACTGGAGTGTGGAGGTGGGTGGAGAGGGTGAAGAGCTGACAGGAAGATCAGAAGGAGGACATCATGTGTGGGTGCCAGTGAAGGAGGGGCCGGCCTCACCTGGCAGACAGAACCCCGATGTGGGCGCACGAGGAGGCGTGCTGTCAGAGGGACCCTGTGAGCTGGAGTGTGAACCCAAGAGCTGGGACCTGATTCAAGTCTGCTACCCCCAAGACGAGTTTCCACCCCTTTTGGCTGAAACAAAAGCAAAGTGGGTAAGAATCTCAAATGCGAACAATTATTTTAAGTTGTAGGAGTTCTGGTACATCTGCAACATTGTTTTCTCCTTTCAACAGCCTGTGAGGTCCGTAGCTCAGATCATTTTAATCCTTTCACGGAAAGAGAAGGTTGTAGAAGAGACCGTTGTTCATCTCATCCGAAGCCTGAAGCTACATGCAAGTAACGAGTGGAGATAGTCCTGCAAGGTTCTCGACTGCTAACCCAGGACTTGCCCAGTATATAAGCAGCTGCCTCTCGAGGGGCAACAGGGAGGACAGACGAGGAGGTGGAGAGAGAGAGAGAGAGAGAGAGAGAGAGGAACAGTTACCCAATTTTAGGTGTTCAGCCAATGTTTGGAGGGCTTGCCCTGTTCCGGTACTTGGATACAGTGGTGACAAGGCCAGCACCCCATGTTCCACAGAGTTGCTGGGTGTTGAGCAGCAAGGGGTGCTGAGGCAGTGTTTGGTCACAGGTCACTGGGAAGTGCTTTTGGTGGGCCGATTGCACGCTGAGCCCGAAAGCATTTTAAGTTCTTGAGATTTGGAGAGACTTGAAATGGAGCTGGGTCCCTAAGACAAAACCTTAGGAGAATCTCTCAGTGCCTCTTCCCACCACACCCCCCCCGCCCCCCCCCCACTCTTGTAGGCAGGCACATGCATATGAACAGATGCAAAACCTTGGTGATCACTTAGTCCAGGGGTTTCCAAACCTTTTCAGTGGCAAACCTTTTTTAAAAAATTACATTTTATTATTAGTAATTGGAATACACTTACAAGTTGAATTTTATAGCTACTTATGATGAAAATGAATGAGAACAAAGAAACTTTGATGACTAAAAAAATTTTAAGTCAAGATTTATGTCCAACAGTTGCCTCTTTATCGCATGCAGGAGCTAATTCACTATTGTATTTGGCTGCGCTGTATCAGGAAAATCCTGATCCACACAGATAAGTACTTACAAAATTGTATGGCTTAAAAATGCACACAAATCCATTCACACTCCTCCCGTGGAGCTAGCACAGCGTCAGTGTCCCCTCTTCTTGGAGCTGGGCTTAGTGACTTGCGCATTTAAAACAGTTCACCCAGCAATAGCCTTGGCCCTCATTTAAACTGACAGGAGGAATGGCTTTATTCAGAGGTCTTCTCCCAAATGAGCTAATCTGGCAGACTTTAAATACAGCTGACCCTTGAACAACATGAGGGTTGTTTGAAAACAAAGTCAGAAATCTGTATATAACTTCTGACTGCCCCCAAATTTAACTGCTATTAGCCTGTTCACCAGAAGCCTTACTAACATAAACAGTCGATTAACATGTTTCTTATGTTATATGCACTATATACTTGTTCTTACAGTAAAGTAAGCTAGAGAAAATATTTTTTGAAGATTTATTTATTTATTTATTTGAGAGAGAGAGAGAGAGAGCACAAAAGCAGGGGGAGGGGAAGAGGCAGAGGAAGAGGGAAAGCAGACTCCCCGCTGAGCAGGGAGCCTGATGCAGGACTTGATCCCAGGACCCCAGGATCATGACCTGAGCTGAAGGCAGACTTTTAACTGACGGAGCCACCCAGGCACCCCGCGAAAAGAAAATATTAAGAAAATCATAAGAGAGAGGGGCGGCTGGCTGGCTCAGTTGGAAGAGCATGTGACACTTGATCCCAGAGTTGGGAGTTCGAGCCCCAAGTTGGGTGTAGAGTTTACTAAATAATAATAATATTAAACTTTGAAATTTTTTCTAAAAAAGAAAGAAAATCATAAGGGAGAGAAAATATAGTTAGAGTACTATACTGTATTTATCTAAAAACTGCATGTATCAGCGGACCAAAGCAGTCCTAACCCATGCTGTTCAAGGGTCACCATACCTTGGTGGGCTCTAACGCTTTGGGCATGTAACACATACAAATGTGTCCACTGACTGTTATTAGAACTTTTAAGATAAAAATTTAAAAGTGAAGCCAAATGAAAGGTTATGGATTCCTGATGCACTCCCACTATCACCTGGAGTTCCTTGGGGAAAGCGGATTTAATCCCTGCAGCTGCTTCCCTAAGGAAGCAGGCCCAGAAAAGCCCAGCACAAGACTGGACTCGGGTCTCCAGCTCTCCCATCGCCTCTCCGGACACAAAACAGGCTCCTTACGTTCTGGCCTAAAAGCCTCCTCCCGTTTCCCATAGGGATCCTCACAGGGGCCCATTTGCAGACGGGCTATTTTTTTCTAATTTTTTTTTTTAATTTTATTATGTTATGTTAATCACCATACATTACATCATTAGTTTTTGATGTAGTGTCCCATGATTCATTGTTTGCGTATAACACCCAGTGCTCCATGCAGAACATGCCCTCTTTAATATCCATCACCGCGCTAACCCATCCCCCTCCCCCTCCCCTCTAGAACCCTGTTTGTTTCTCAGTGTCCATAGTCTCTCATGGTTCATCTCCCCCTCTGATTCCCCCCCTTCATTTTTCCCTTCCCGCTATCTTCTTCTTCTTCTTCTTCTTCTTCTTTTTCTTTTAACATATAATGTATTATTTGTTTCAGAGGTACAGGTCTGTGATTCAACAGTCTTACACAATTCACAGCGCTCACCATAGCACATACCCTCCCCAATGTCTATCACCCAGTCACCCCATCCCTCCCACCCCCACCACTCCAGCAACCCTAAGTTTGTTTCCTAAGATTAAGAATTCCTCGGGCGCCTGGGTGGCTCAGTTGGTTAAGCGACTGCCTTCAGCTCAGGTCATGATCCCGGGGTCCTGGGATCGAGTCCCACATCGGGCTCCCGGCTCGGCGGGGAGCCTGCTTCTCCCTCTGACCCTCTCCCCTCTCATGCTGTTTCTCTCCCGCTCACTCTCTAAGAAATAAATAAACAAAACAAAACAAAAAAAAAGAATTCCTCATATCAGTGAGATCATATGATACATGTCTTTCTCTGATTGACTTACTTCACTCAGCATAATACCCTCCAGTTCCATCCACGTCGTTGCAAATGGCGCAGATGGGCTATTTAAAAACGTTTATTTTGGGGGCGCCTGGGTGGCTCAGTCCTTAAGCGTCTGCCTTCGGCTCAGGTCATGATCCCGGGGTCCTGGGATCGAGCCCCACATCGAGCTCTCTGCTCAGCGGGAAGCCTGCTTCTCCCTCTCCCACTCCCCCTGCTTGTGTTCCTTCTCTCACTGTCTCTCTCTGTCAAATAAATAATCTTAAAAAAAAGGGTGAGGACCCTCCTTTCTAAATAAATAAATAAAAACATTTATTTTTCCCAAGCAGCTGTCAGAGAACTGAGATCCAAATGCTAGCCATGTCTGGGCTGGGCAGAATGCTGCCCCCACCCCTGGTGACTTAGGCCGGACTCCAGGCTCCACTCAGGGTACACAGCCACCCTGGGAGCGGTCTGCCTCTCCTGGGCCTCAGCCTGACCGGTGAATGGGCCCCAAAGGGCAGGGCTAGTGCAGTGAAACCCAAGACCCCACAGCTCTAGATCCTACAGCTTTGTGGTAGAAGCTAACCTCCTCTAGTGCCACCCTTAATCCCTGACCCTCTCATCATATGTCAGTGGTCAGCAGAATACATTTTGCACAGATACCAGCCCTCTCCTCAGGAAGATCTTTTCATTCCCGAGGGTTGGAGGGTAGCAGTGGAGGCGGTAGGGGAAACGGGCTTTAAACTGGTGGGGTTGTCTCTCTAGACATTCCAGGAAATGTCCTGGACATTCCTGCTCTTGTTAAGGGTTCTGCCTGTGTAATTCTTGGGCCCAACTTTCCGGGGCAGGAGGCCTCTTGACATAGGAGACCTACCTTCTGTTTCTTTCCTTGGCGCTGCTAGGACAGCCCGGCCGGTTGTTACTTCCTCTGCAGGACCTCTGGAGCAGTGCTGTATCCTCGTAAAAGAACAAGCAACAAGTGAAATTAATTTTCATCATATACTTCATTTAACCCAATAGATCTAATATGTTACAATTTCAACAGGTCATCAGCATACATCACGAGTGAGCTATTTTACATTTTCTTTTTGCAGTAAGTCTTCAGAATCCGGGGTATACTTCGCCCTCCGCACCTCTCAATTTGGACTAGCACGTTTGTTTCGGTGCTCCACAGCCACGTGCCGACAGTGGCTACTGTGCTGGACAGGGGGTGGGGGTAGGGGCATCTAGAGACTTACAGGACCCATAAACCTTCCCATTCCTCGCGGAAGAAACTCCCGGTCCCACTCGTCCTTCTCGCTGCCACCTGGCTCCCCCCACGGGGCCGCGTGAACCTGCTCCGCGGCGCCCCTCCGCTGCGGCGCCGGGCTCCAGGGCTCCCCCCCACCCCCGCTCTGCCGGGCCGGGACACTTCGGCGCCCGGCCTCCTTCCCGACCGCGCGGGCCGGGCCTGGCCCGGCCAGGGCGGCGGGCGGCGGGCGGCGGGCGGCGGGCGGCGGGCGCCCCCAGCGGGCCGGGGCGGGGCGGACCAGGCAGGGCCCCGCCCCCTCGCCGCGCCTCCCGGGCCGCCCTCCGCCCGAGAGCTTCGCCGCCGCCGCACCGCCGCCACCGCCGCCCGGGAGCCGAGCCGGGCCGGGCCGCCAACATGCTGAGCCGGCTCGGGGCGCTGCTGCAGGAGGCCGTGGGGGCGGTGAGGCCGGGGAGGCCCGGGCGCGCGGGGCTAGGCCGGAAGGGCGGGCGCGGGGCCGGGGGAGGAGCCGGCGGGCGGGCGGAGGGCGCGGGCCCGCTTCGGGGAAGGGACCCCCACCCAGGCCGCGGCGCCCTTTCCCGGGCCTCCCCTCTCCCCCGTCGCGCCCCTCCCGCACAGCCCTTCCTGCTTCGCGTGGCCTCTTTCCCGATCGCGCCTACTCCCAGCTCCTCTCCAGATCGCCCCAGCCCCTAACCCTTTTCCCCAAATGGCTTCCTGTTTATTTTTCCTGCTCCCCGTTCTCAGTTCGCTCCCAGGTCCCAAACTCTTCTGTGCTAGAGGGCTCCCTTGTCACCCAGTAGTTTCCTCCCCAAGGTACCTTCCCCAGGCCCTTTGCCTTCCTCCACCGCCCCCCACCCACGCTCCTCCCTTCCTGGTCACCTGGGCTGGGAAAATAGATGCCCCTTGCCTTCCTTCTGAGCCCCCAGGCAACCCCAAGACCTCAGTCAGGCGCGTGTGCTCTCAGCCTCCACTTGGGAAGTTCCGGCCCAGATTGGCCACGTCCCCAGGAAGTGTGTATATATACAGTCCAGGGGTGGGTGGGCGCCTGGCCCAGGGAACAGCCTGCTGCGGGGCACAGGGCGGTATCCAGAATGTTATCTCACACCACACCGGCCCTGGCCAGAGTGACCTTGAGTCAGGAGAGGCCAGCAGTGGGGGGACCTTCTGGAGGCCATAGGAGGGAGAGTTTGTGTGTTTGCCATTATCTGTCGGGTTGAAGGCTGGTCAGAGGCCAGTTCACTTCATTCAGCAAGATAAAAGTGCAGTTTAGATAGACTAGGCCGAATGCCTTCTGTTTAAAGTAACCTTGTCAAGAATCTGTAAAGTTAACAGTTCTTTTGTCTCGAAGTAGAGGTCTCCTCTAATTGATCAATTTATTATATTCTGTCCGATTTGCTCAGGAGAAACAACCTTGTGTCCCTCCTCCTTTCTCCCCCTCTCCAAAACAGAGCTTATTATAAATGAGAACAGTCTCAGCCTTAATCAAACCTGTGAAGAAAGTGAAAAGCTCCTCCCACCTCTCCTTCACCTGTCCCCAGCCCTGCCCTTCCTGATGTCCAGGGCATCCCACCTCAGGAGGGGGTCCAGAATGATCTTGCCTTCCCTTCCTCCTTGTCTCCAATTGAAACAGCTGTCATCTTAGAAAGTGATGTGACAACCCACTTCATACCTCTCAGGAAAGCTCCATACACAGGGTGGGAGACGGGCCAGAGAGAGCCTTAGTCCTGAAAGTGACTTTCTAATCCTCCCAGTGCACGCATTTCAGCATCAGGGCCTGGAGGAGGGATTGGTGGTCAAGGGAGGTATTTTTAGGCAGGTGATTTTTGGCCCCTGAGTATCAGATACATAGACAATGCCGTGGAAGTTTGGCTGGCCCCATGTAACTGTCAGGAGAGAGGGAAACCCCTCTTTTCCCCTCCACTCCCACATGGGGGGGGCATAGGTCTTCCCCTGGGTCACCAGGTTAAGACCCCAGCAGGTTGCTTGACTCCTTGTTAAGGAGGAAGAGTGCTCCTTCCTGCCCTCTTCTGACAAAACAGAATAGCAATCGTTAGGGTTCTTTTAGAAAATATTCTTTATTATTATTAATAAAGATAATGAAGATTAGTAATTTAATAATTTCTCTTTAAAATAAATCATTTGGTACAATTTCTTTGGAGTTATAGTAGCTAATAGTAGATTGAGGTGAAGATGATCCCCTTGCTTTGTCTTGACAGTCTGTTTTGTTACAGTCTGTTTGCTGCCGTCTGTGTTCTCCCGGGTCTCCTATTCTTACTGGATTGTTCGTTTTCAGCATAAGCCCAGCTTAAGGGTTCAGGAGACTACAAATGAATTTTGAGGCTAGATGAGAGCCCATCACAGCACTGGAAGATGACTTATAGTGCTGGTCAAGGGTCGGAGGGCTTTCCTGAGCAAGGAACTATGGAAAGGATGTCTAAAGGAGTTTGCTGAGATATTTAGTAAATGCGAATGAGTAGTCATTCGTGGCAGAGCCCTTTAGGGGCAGGCAGAGCTAGAAAACACAGAACCCAAGCCCTCAGGGAGCTCACAGTCTAGTAGAAGAGAAGACTCTAATCCCACAATCACAGTGTCACACAGGATGTGGTAAAAGACAGTGGCCCCATGTGGACGGTGTGCTTGGAATGACTGTGGGAGGTACCGCTCCAGTAAGGGCCATGCCCTACCTCTCCCCCCCCCCCCCCCCCCCCCAGCTAACCGTGAAAGAAGACAAGGTTGCCTGGGCAGCCAAGGGTTGAGGGGGAGAGTTTCAGGGCCTCTGATTCGGTGTTACTGCTTCATCCTCCTGTCTTCATGGCCTTCTAACCGTTCTCCCTGTCTTCATCATCACAGAACTGTCAGCGGACTCTGCCTAAAACACTGCTTAGCAGACGTCCTTGACCTGCCCCCGACTGCCTGCACAAACAGTCGTGACCTGGTGATTCGATGTTCAGGGGCCCACACGCTCCTCAATCCATCCTTATCCCAGACACTTTGCAGAGTTCCTTCCGCAGGAACCGTCTTTCCTTCATCTCTAACTAGTGACTTGGGACTGCATTCGTCCCGTTTTAGTTTCAGGGTAACCTCAGTAAAGCCTTCTGTGTTCCAGTGCTCTTTTCCCATGGGTCATTTTCCACCTGTCCCGCATTCTCACACGACTTCCTACAGCTGAGTTATTTGGGGCGGTTTTCATATTCTGTTCTCCCTGGCACTGGGTCTCCGGCAGCCTTGTACTGCTTACAGCGTCTGGCATAGTGTCTTGTACAGAGGGGCACTCAAAAGATACTTCCGGAACGAATCAGGAGTAGACACTCAGTTCTGTGCTGCAGTGAAGTGTGAGGTTAGAGAGATGCATCCAGGAACTCTGGTGAGGCCTTTGCGGAGCTGGTGGCCCTTAGCTGGACCTCACTGGTGACCGTTCGGATCTAGGCAAGTGTAGGGGGACACAGGGCCTCCTGGGCAGAGGAGTGGCCTGAGCAAACACGGAGAAGTAGAAATGAGCACCTGTGGTGAGGGACTATTTGATTATGCATTTTTCTCCTGTATACGTTTACTCTGCAAGGAAAGAGAGTGACAGCTCTTTTTTTTGAGTTTTCAGGGAAAGCAGTTGTTACCGGTGTGGAGATGAAAAGATAACTTCTGGAAGAGGGGCAGGTTTGGGGCTTGCTCAGAGCAGAAATAGAATTCCCTGGGGCTGCAGGCTGTGCATCCCCAGCTCCTCCAGCAGCCTGCAGCCTTGGACAAAAGATGCAAGCATGTTATAAGTAAGGCACCTCATGAATCTTATGCAAACATTACCTATCTGGCTGAATGAAGCCTTTCGATGGCCTCGAACACAGATTTGTGCAGACTCTCGGACTGAGAGGGGCCCGAAAACTTTGTCTTTGCCACGTTTTCCACGCGTATCATTTTGATTTTGTTGTTTTGGGGGCGCTCTCCTGTTTTCCTCTGTGTCCCTCTACAGTAGCGTAACCACGTTGAGACGACCTGTTTCTGTGTCTGTCCCCCCGACCAACGTTCTTAGATCTTCCGGGCCAGGGACTGTGGAGTCATGACTCATAGCAGGAGCACAGCGTCTCCAGGAGAGAGGCGGGCTGGGAGAGGTGCCAAGAGATTGTCCTGGAGAAAACGCCTTCGTGTTCCCTTTCAGAACCTGGATCACGGCGCCTCCTCCAGGGCCTGGCACTGACCCGAGCCCTGGTAGATGGTGGACCGTCCGTTGTGATGAGTGACGGTGGCGGCCCCTCATGCCGAGTCTGCTCTCTCCACAGCGGGAGCCCAGCATTGACCTGCTGGAGGCCTTCGTGGAGCACTGGAAGGGCATCACGCACTACTACATTGAAAGTACAGGTGGGAGCCCTGCAGCCAGTGGGGAGGAAGGTGTGGGCCGCGTCCCCATGCCAGGCAGAGATGCATGTGGCCTGGAGAAGGTGACGAGGGCTGCACAGGGGTTGAGAGTGGGGGCTGGCCCCACCCTGACCTTTTGGGAGAGGAACTGTGTGAGGTAGGAGTGGGGACGCCACTGAGCTGACTGCAAGGCAGAGGCTGAGCTCCACTTGCCCCTCGCTTCCAGCGAGGCAGAGTGTCTAGGCCTGCGGTCCTCAGGACCTGTGTCCAGGGCTTACTGATTAAAAGAAACGGAATCAAGTCCTCCTTTCCCTGAGCTAACTGAGAGGGCATTTCCCTTATAGAAATCTAAGGTAGGAGGGCAACAAATGCCGATGCCCATAACGTGCCTGGGTCCATGTCCCCCAGCTGACACCCAGACAGCAAAGCTTTGGGTAATCTGGGCCCAGCAGGATCACTCCCTAAGGGGTGGAACTGGATTGGCTGCTTTGTAGTCAGTATGTTGGTATTGGTGGACACACATTGGTTGCCAGGTAACCCTGTCCGGCATCCCTGGCTTTCTACCTCCGGGTTCAGACTGGAGTTTGATTCCAGTCTACCCCTTTCCTGAAGACTTGATTTCCAGCCTGAGCCAGCCCAAAAAATTAAAAAGCAGTCTTTGGACACTTTGAGGGACCCCCCCCTAAGTGTCCTTTTAGACCAGGTTTCCCGATCTTGGCATGGTTGACATTTGGGCTTGACCATTCTTTGTGGTGGCGGGCTTCTTGGGGCGCATGGTGGGATGTTTAGCAGCAGCTCAGGCTTCCACCATCCCCATTGCAGTAAGTATAAATATCTCTTCAAACATTGCCAAATGTTCCCGGGGGCAGAATCACCCCCAGTGGAGAACAACAGCTTTAAACCAAAGATCTTTTTTTCCTTTTTTGAGCTAATAATTGATGTAACATTGTATCATGTAACTTGGGTGTACAACATATTGATTCAATATATGGATATATTGTGAAGTGATCACCACAATAAGTCTAGTTAATATCCATCACCCTAACTAGTTACCAATTTTTTTCTTGTGATGACAACTTTTAAGATACTCTTAGCAATTTTCAAATATGCAATACACTAACTATAATCACTATGCTGTATATAACATTCTCAGGACTTATTTATTTATGAGTTTTTATTTTTGTTTTTGTTTTTTTTGTTGTTTTTTAGAGAGGGAGGGGGCAGAGGGAGAGGGAAAGAGAGAGAATCTTAAGTGGGCTCCACGCCCAGCACAGAGCCTGATGCAGGGCTCGCTCTCACAACTCTAAGATCATGACCTAAGCCGAAATCAAGAATCAGACACCCAACTGACTGAGCCACCCAGGTGCCCCAGGACTTACCTACTTACTTACTTACTTATTTATTAAGATTTTATTTATTTATTTGACAGAGAGAGACACAGCGAGAGAGGGAACACAAGCAGGGGGAGCAGCAGAGGGAGAAGCAGGCTTCCCACAGAGCAAGGAGCCCGATGTGGGGCTCAATCCCAGGGTCCTGGGATCCTGACCTGAGCCAAAGGCAGATGCTTAACCAACTGAGCCACCCAGGAGCCCCAGGACTTATTTATTATTGGAAGTTTGTACCTTTTAGACTGAAGGTCTCTTGACAGAGAGCCCCAATCTGCCAGGATGTAGGAAAAGATCCAGAACTGACTTCAGGTCCACCTGGGGCTTCACCTGAACCCAATCCATTAATTTCCAGAACAGTCCCTAGACCATAGGTACAGGGATGGGTGAGGTGAGCTGAGCTGTGTTGTTCAAAAGCCAGTGCTTTCAAAATAAGCTAGGGGGTGCTCCAGGGCCGGTCCCAAAGCACCAAAACTTGCTTTATGCAAACAGTCTGTCTGAGACTCTCACCAAGAAAGCCCCAGCTTCTCCATCAAGACCTTTGCACAATGGAGCAGGTTTGCCTCCAAACTCATGGTCATGCACGGATTTTTTTTCTCCTTTGTAAAAAAAATTGTTTCTCCTTTCTGCCTCCTGTGAGTGTAAAAAGGAACCGGAGGTTTACCTCTCCGGAAGTGGCTCTGAGACAACTTCTAAATTCTATGACAGAGACCCCTGAGCCCCCGGCTTCTCAGTCGGGCCCAGAGCTGACCTGCAGCCTGAGCAGTGTACCCTCCTGGACACCCCCGGGGTTAGGAGAAAAAATGATGCTGCCTCCCTCTGATAAAGCACTAGAGTATGCACACGTTCCCAGTCAGAGGGCTGTATCCTGGGCCTCATCCAAAAGGTCTTTTGTCTTTTTAAATATAGAGGCACCAACTGTAAATTTCCACTTCCTCTGGTCTTCGTTCGAAGCCAGCTGTGAACCGGGCCTTACTCCAGGTGTACCCTCAGTCTCCCTCCACCCCCTGGGCCGCAGGGGCTCGACCTCATCACCCCACTCACCCTTGTTTCCTGAATCTCATTAGATGAAAACACCCCCGCCAAGAAAACGGATATTCCCTGGCGGCTGAAGCAGATGCTGGACATCCTGGTGTACGAGGAGAGGCAGCAGACGGCAGCTGGGGAGGCCGGGCCCTGTCTGGAATACTTGCTGCAGCACAAAATCCTGGAGACGCTGTGCACCCTGGGCAAGGCCGAGGTGGGCACACCCCGGGGAGCCCCTGCGGCCCCGGCTCGTCCCTCTGTGTTCCCGTCCCATCGTGTCATGGAAACGCTGCCGTTATCCAGTCAGGGTTCATTCAGCGAAGGTGTGCTAAGAACCGGCCGGGTGCCAGGCAGGGGCCTCGGTGCTGCAGACCCAGCAGCTACTAAAACAGACGAAAGTTCTGGTCAGAGGTCACTGGGGGGCCCGCACGCAGCCTGTCCAACCATGACAGGTCATGGAGAACGGTGAAGCGGGACGGGGACCCAACAGTGTGGGCAGGCCGGTTTCAAACACGGGCGCAGCTCATTTGATTGCGGTCCACGTGATGGTGCTTCACAAAGCCGGCATTTCTTACACGGCGGAGGTTTGGGGCAACGGGGCGCTGAGAAGCTCGGGTGGCACCATGTTTCCAGCAGCATCTGGTCACTTCACGTCTCTGCGTCACATTTTGGTAATTCTCAGTAATCTTTCCAACTCAGTGATGATATTCCTTACAGTGATAGGTGCTCAATGATCTTTGATGTTGCTATTATAATTGGGGGCACAAGTAATGCCCCTGTAAGACAGCTCCACTGACCAGCCCTTCCCCATCTTTCTCCCTCTCCTTGGGCTCCCTAGTCCGCGAGACACTACAATATTGAAGTTCGGCCAACTAATACCCCTCCAGTGGCCTCTAAGTGTTCAAGTGAGGAAGAGTCACACGTCTCTCACTTTAAATCAAAAGCTGAAATGATTAAGCTCGGTGAGGAAAGCTGAGATGGGCCAAAAGCTAGGCCACACAACAAACAGTGGGCCGGGGCGAGAATGCAAAGGAAAAGTTGTTGGAGGAAATTCAAAGTGCCTCGCGGTGAACACGCGAACGATAAGAGAGCGGAACAGCCTCACTGCGGACGCGCTGAAGGTCTGAGGGGTCGGCCTAGAAGAGCAAACGAGCCACGACGTTCCGTTAAGCCAAAGCCTGACCCTGAGCCAGGCGCTGACTCGCTTCGGTTGGGCGAAGGCTGAGAGCAGGGAGGAAGCTGCAGGGGGACCGTCGGGAGCTGGCAGAGGTGGGTCCGAGAGGTGTAAGGGAAGACGCCGCCTCTGTAACATCAGGGTGCGAGGGGAGGTGGCCAGGGCTGGGGTAGATGCTGCAGCAAGTTCTGCGGGAGACCCAGCGGGGTAAGTGATGAAGGAGGCTACGCGGCGCAGCAGGTTTCCAATGTGGATGAAACGGCCTCTACTGGAAGAAGACGCCAGCTAGGACCCTCAGCGGCCGGGGGGACGTCAGTGCCCAGCTGCAAAGCTTCCAAGGGTGGGCTGACTGTCTTGTCAGGGGCTGAGGCAGCTGGTGACTTGAAGTCGAGGCCAGCGCTCATTGACCATTCTGGACGTCCCAGGGCCCTGGAGAGTCGTGTTCGTGCCACTCTGCCTATGCTCTGTGAATGGAACAACAAAGCCTCGGTGGCAGCACTTGGGATCACTACGTGGTGTCCTGAATACTTTAGGTGCCCTGTGGAGACCTACCGCTCCGAAAAAAATCTTCTTGTCAAACCACGACTGCTCACCGACAATGCACCTGGTCACGCACGAGCTCTGATGGAGAAGTAGAACGAGACGATGGCTGTTTCCTGCTGACACGGCAGCCATGCTGCAGCCCGGGGAGCAAGGAGGCATTCGACTTCCAAGTCTTATTATTTAGGAAATACATTTTGTAAGGCGGTGGCTGCCATAGATAGTGATTCTTCTGATGGATTTGGGCAAAGCAAATTGAAAACCTGGCAAAGATTCGCCATTCCAGGTGCCACTAAGAACATTCGTGATTCATGGGAAGAGGTCAAAATATCAACATGAACAGGAGCTTGGAAGAATTCGATCGCAACCTTCATGGATGACTCTGGCGGGTTCAAGACTTCAAAGGAGGAAGTGTGGGGGAAAGAGCGAGAGAACTAGAACAGGAAGTGGAGCCTGAAGATGGGACTGAATGGCTGCCATCTCATGATCAAACTAACAGATGAGGAGTTGCTGCTCATGGATGAGCAAAGAAAGGGGTTGCTTGAGATGGAATCTACTCCTGGGGAAGACGCTGGGAAGATTGTTGAGATGGTAACAGAAGATTTAGAGCATTGCATAAACTTAGTTGATAGAGAAGCGGCAGGCTGGAGAGGACTGGCCAATTTTGCAAGAAGTTCTACTGTGAGTAAAATGCTATGGAACAGCATCACGGTGATACAGAGAAATCATTCATGAAAGCAAGAGTCCATCCGTGTGGCCAACTTCACTGTTGTCTTATTTTAAGAAATGGCCCCAGCTGTTCCCACCTTCAGCAACCCCCACCCAGATCAGTCAGCAGCCACCAACAGCGAGGCAAGAGCCTCCACCGGCAAGATTACAACTCGCTGAAAGCTCAAATGATGGTTGGCATTTTTTAGCAATATTTTAAAATTAAGGTTATGTACATTGCTTTTTAGACATAACGCAATTGCACAATTAATAGACTACAGTATAGCATAAACATAGCTTTTGTATTCACTGGGAAGCCAAAAAATTAATTTGACTTGCTTTCTTACGATATTCGCTTATTGCAGTATTTGCTTTATTGTGGTGGTCTGGACGCAAACCTGCCTGTCTCGGAGGTGTGCCTGTAGTGAGGGAAGGAGGCTTGCAGAAAATGTGGTCTCTGAGCGGTGACCAAGGGAGGATGGTGCTGTGGCCCAGGGGTGGGGAGCATTCCAGGCAGTGGGCAGGCTCCATCTTCTGACGGGCACTCTGTTCCTTGACACTCAGTACCCCCCAGGGATGCGACAGCAGGTATTCCAGTTCTTCAGCAAGGTTCTGGCCCAGGTGCAGCACCCCCTCCTGCATTACCTCAACGTCCACAGGCCTGTGCAGGTGAGGGGCCAGGAGACCAAGGGGTGTCTGAGGGTCAAGCCCTCTCTCTTCCCTGCTACCCCATTCTTCTCTGTTTCTGATTTGCTTCCCTTCTAGAAGCTTCTCCGACTTGGTGGAACAGTTCCTGGATCCCAAACAGAAAAGGAGGAGGTACAGTTCACCACCGTCCTCTGCTCCAAGATCCAACAGGACCCAGCCCTGCTCACCTACATCCTGGAAGTGAGCACCTCTGTGAGGGACAGGAGCGGGAGGGCTCCGACCCCAGGGCAGGCCCCTAAGGCCCTTCTGAGGAAGCAGAGGGTGGAGCAGGTACTCAGGCGCCTAGGCGGCTTCCTCTCTAGCTCCATGCCGAGGCCCTGACAGCCAACACATCCTGCATTCCCAAGGGGCATCGTGGGGAATGGTCTGCACCGTGACGTGGCTTCACCCGACCTTCTTTGCAGGGTAAAAAGATTGTCAGGAGGAAGAAGTCATTCAAAGAACCCACCACCCTGCCTAGAGAGGCAGCCAGCATCCAAGACAAGGACCACCCCCGCAGCAAGGCTCCTGACATGAGTCCCTGCGGGGCCCGGGCCTTGAGCGCGCAGCCGCCTGCCGAGACAGAGGAGGAGCCGGATGGAGCGGCTGGAGAGAGCAACCTCATCACCTCCCTGGTCGGGTTGTGCAAGAGCAAGGTGCTAGCTGCCGAGACAGAGTGGGCGGGGATGAGGAGGGCGAATTGCTGGGAGGGGATCTGGGCATTCAGGTGTATGGCCCTGAAGTCGTACCCCTATCCCCTAGAAAGGCCGGGTGGCTCTGAAGGCCCAGGAGAACCTGCTGCTCCTGGTCAGCGTGGCTTCACCGGCAGCCGCCACCTACCTGGTGCAGAGCAGTCCTTGTTGTGCCGCCGTGGTCGAGCACCTCTGCCAGCTCTACCAGTCGGTGCCCCCCTTCCTGGACCCGGCGGACGTTGCCGCACTAGAGGGCGTCAGCTGGAGGTAGGCGCTGGGCCCGGAGAAGCTGGCCTACGGCTTCAGTGGCAAGAAGCCCTCCCTGTCCTCTGCTTTTCTAGGAGGGATGGGGACCCCTGCTGGCCACCCTCTTGCTGAGGGCACAGCCTGTCCTCAAGGGCTTTCCCTCTCGCTCCCCCGCCCCGCACCAGCAACAGAGGTTGCAGGGAGAAGGGGCCCAGATTCTGGAACATCCCTGAGGTGGGCCTCACAGCTCCTCCCTTGCTCCCCCTCAGGTTGCCCAGTGCCCCATCTGATGAGGCTTCCTTCCCTGGCAAGGACACCTTGGCTGCCTTTTTGGGCTGGTTTGATTACTGTGACCACCTCATCACAGAGGCACACATGGTGAGCCGGGGCCCCAACAGGTCCCTCTGTGGGGGTGCCCCGTGGTTGACCCCACTCCCTTCCCTGTGTCCACCCTGAGGACCAAGTGGGTCTCTCAGGAGCTAGGCAGGGCCCCCGGGCTGCCTATTGTGTTAAACGCTGTGCAAGGACACGGTTGTTTCTCAATGGAAAACTGTCATGGAGGTAAAACGTGCTTAAGACATGTTCTTTGGCACCTAGGTGGTTGCAGACGCCTTGGCAAAGGCTGTGGCTGAGAAGTTATTCGTGGAGATTCTGCAGCCCCACCTCCTGCATGTGTAAGTCTATGTCGTGTTTCCTTGGGCATGGCCGTGGTTGGGCCCAGTTGCTCACCCCACCAGGTCCCTTCCTGTCCCTAAGGCCAGGGATCTCCTTGGCCAGAGTCACATGGGTCTGCGGGCTCCATGGTTAATGTTTGCCGGGCCTGGCCCCCTGACAGCCATGTGGCTCAGAGCCACACGGGCTGACTCCAGGACCTCAGGAGGACTAGGGAGCAAGCAGAGAAATACCAGGGAAGGCATAAGGAAACCCGGAAAGGGTTCTGTCACCCCCACATGTGTTCACTCCTGGCTCCCTCTCTGCTCTCCCCTCTCCCGCCTGGCTCTCAGCCCCCAGGCCTGGCTCAGTGCTCTCTCCCTGTAGTTCTGAGCAGAGCGTCCTGACCTCCACCGCCTTGCTCACGGCCATGCTGCGTCAGCTCCGCTCTCCTGCCCTGCTGCGAGAGGCTGTGGCTTTCCTCCTGGGCACAGACCCACAGCCTGCAGCCCCCGACGATGGCCCCCGTACTCTGTGCGCTCACCTCATCGGGCACTGCGACCACCTCTCTGACGAGGTAAGGGGGAGGGCGTCGTCCGACCCCTGCCCAAGGGACCCCCCGAGTGCTTCTCCCTGCTTGCATTAGCTTACCAGCTGGCACTTCCTTTGAGGCATTGAAACGTATGCCCCCCCAAAACAGTGACTGCTTTTGTCACACGGTGATGTTCTGTGATCAGATGCTTGCCTTGTGACTTTATGTTTTCCAAACCTATTTCATATTCACTTGGCTTGTTTGAGGCTTACAGCTACTCTGAGCTAGGTGAGGCCACTATTTCGTTTCTCAGCCATGGAAACTGAGACACAGAAGAGCCAGTTGGCTCGCTTGATAACATACATCAAATCGGTAACAGAACCAGAACGGGCAGACTTTCGGCTCCCAGACCAGCACCCACCCACTCCCCCCAAAACCTGCCACCTGCTCTTTTCTTATCTGAGTGAGCAATTCCCAGGGACCCCTAGAAGCCGGGGTCCTGCTGACCCTTTCTTACCCAGATCAGCATCACCACCCTGCGGCTATTCGAGGAGCTGCTCCAGAAGCCACACGAGCAGGTCATCCGCAGCCTGGTCCTGTGCAACCTGGAGGGCCGCCATTATGTGGCCAGGGGCTCACCCGAGCCCGAGAGCTACGAGGACACCCTGTAAGTGAAACCCTGCGCCTCTGGGAGGCCTCAGGCTGCTAGGACCCACCACGGCCCCCCGTACCCCCGCACTTGCTCATTCATTCATTGGTGCCACAGAGATCTGGAGGAAGACCCTTACTTCACAGACGGCTTCCTCAACTCCAGCTTTCAACACTCAGCAAAGCCTCCCCCAGCCCCTGCCACCAACTCAGATGGCAAAACAGCAGTGACTGAGATCGTCAACAGGTAGGGAGCCATCTGGAAATCTAAGCCACTTGAGGTTTGTTCCGTCTTTGGCCATAGCCCTGAGAGAGGCACAGCCCAGGAGGGAGTGTTCCCTCGGGGCTGGAGTTGGAGTGGGGAGGAACAGGGCAGCCCGGACGGTGCCCCTCCACACCTAGGGTCTTGTCTCTCAGTTTCCTCTGCCTGGTTCCTGAGGAAGCCAAGACCTCGGCTTTCCTAGAGGAGACGGGATATGACACGTACGTCCACGATGCTTACGGACTGGTGAGTGTTGAGGCCTCTGCCAATGCCCACTTGTCCCTCAAAGCCAGGGCGTTGATAAACTCCACCTTCTCCCTCTGTGATCTGCCCAAGGTGCTCCCTGCTCCAGCCAAGAGCCTCGAGTCCGTCCTTCCTCTGTGGTTCCCACGGTCTGCGGGGTGCCTCCTGACCACTGGGCCCACCTCCTCAACTCTCACTCCTGTTTCAGTTCCAGGAGTGCAGCTCCCGAGTTGCCCCTTGGGGCTGGCCCCTGGGCCCCACACCCCTGGACCCCCATGAGCCTGAACAGCCTTTCTTTGAGGGTCACTTCCTCCGAATGCTGTTTGACCGCATGTCCCGGATTTTGGAACAGGTAGCCAACAGGACTGGGCCCTGGCTACGGGGTGAGGGCCCATGGGAGAACTCCAGGCAGGTGCCCTGGGGGGGTTTGAGTCCTCTTTGGTTCTTCAGCTCCATATCCCCCTCCCCCACCCCTCCCACTTCTCCAGGCGGGAAGCCCCATCTTGCCTCTGCTCTACACGCCCTAACATGTTCTGGCCCTCAGCCCCAGGGAATCCGTGACACACACACATCACGTGAGACTCCCACCCCCGCACACGTTCACACTGGCCAGGCGCCTTGCTGGGGGAGTGCAAAACTGCTCACCGCCCCCTGCCAACCCTCGGCTTGTCCACTGTGCTCCCTGCAGCCATACAGCCTGAACCTGCAAGTGACCTCAGTCCTGTCCCGGCTTGCCCTCTTCCCCCACCCCCTTATCCACGAGTACCTCCTGGATCCCTACATCAACCTGGCCCCTGGCTGCAGGAGTCTGTTCTCTGTGCTCGTCAGGGTAAGGATGCCGGAGCCCAGGGGTGTGTGCCCGTGGGGTGGCAGGAAGAGAGGGGATCAGGAGGGGGGTGGGGGCCGCAGGAGTGGGCACTCTGGACAGCTCCACCCCTCCTCCACTGCTACAGCAGAGCTAGGGGACCCTGCATGAGTGTCATCGGCTCCCACCTCAGCCGTGTCTCATTCCTGCTCTAGGTGATCGGGGACTTGATGCAGAGAATTCAGAGGGTACCCCAGTTCCCGGGAAAACTGCTCCTGGTGCGCAAGCAGCTGATGGGTCAGGTCCCTGGGGAGCAGTAAGTAACCGAGGGGAATGGGTGCCCAAGCACGGACCCTAGGGTGGGAAGGCAGACTGCCCAAGGATAGTGGGAGGGGCATAGGCTGGGGAGGAAGAGGGCCTGTTGCTGAGCTCGGTCTTCACTCAGAGGTGTCTGCCACTGGAATGTACCTCATGGACACTGGGATGTCATACTGGGCACACTCCCGCCGCCTCCCAGCCATGACCACCCCATGCTGTCTCCCTCAGGCTGGACCACCAGACTCTCCTCCAGGGAGTGGTGGTTCTTGAGGAATTCTGCAAGGAGCTGGCTGCCATCGCTTTCGTCAAGTTCCCCCCACATGGTCCTCACCTGCACCTCCCCCCTCCCCGAGAAGGGCACGTCTGAGCCAGGAGCAGGACAGGAGGGGAGACTTCTGTCCACACCTCTGCCCACGAGCTGCCTCGTACCTGGCACTGCCGCCACCTCCTGCCTCCCAGGCTGGGGCTTGGTTCCATCTCTACCTCCCAGGCACCTCTGCCTCTGAGGACGCCTGGGCTTCCACTCCCAGGTTAACTCAAGAAGATCCTGGCCTGTCAGCCACACGAGACTGGGCTCAGGGAGTGGGTCTCCAAGGAGCAAAAGAGATGGCCTCCCAGACAGCATGGTGTCCTCGGGGCCTTCTCGGGGGAGCTGGGTAATTGCCAGGTGATCACCCAGACCCAAACCCTCACGTGTCCTGTGCCTATCACCTGAGTCGACGGGCCATTCGTGGCCAGGGCCAAGACCTGTGGCTCGGTTCCAGGGGCACAGGGGGGAGTGAGTGATGGTTCTGAGGCTGGTCAGGACCGCAGGCCAGAGACGGGGGTGCAGGAGCCCCATCTCTGTCAACGCTAGGTACCACAGACACTGCTGAGACTTGACATTTTTTCTCCTGCCTTCTTGGCTTAATCCGTGGCAAAGGGGCAGTGGATAGCCGGGGAAGCCCACTCTTCCTACCCAGCCCTCCTGGAGACTGTTGCAAAATTCCCAACCGCCTCCTGGCAAATATCCAAAGCATGCTCCGCGCCCAGGCGGGGGCAGCTGCTAATGAGAGCCTTGGTGTAACTGCAGCCGGGGCGGGAGAGGCCTTGGGAAGTGGGGGGCTGGGTGCCAGGCTCCGGCTCCAGCTGCTTTCTCTCTGGCACCTCTGAACCCGTCCCGGCTGGTCCTCAACACCTGGGTAGAGGGGCTCAGAGCCTGGCCCTCAGCTTTCCACCCAGCCTGCAGTGCTCTTGATGGAATACTCTTCGGGGGAGCCAGGGAGCTCGGGACAGACGAGGCCGGGATGCCCACCTGACCCCAGGCCCCCAGGGCCCGGCGGGGAGGCGCTGGGGCGCAGGCAGCCGGTTGTAGTGGTGTTCTCCCTGCATGCCCTTCACGGCCGGGGCTGCCACCCCACCCGGCCTGAATCTGTCTCAACCTGCAGGAACACACAGGCGGCGCCAGGCATTACCTCACGGCAGGACTGCAGTGCTGGCTGCGCTCCTGGGCAAGGAGGAGTGGGCCAGAGCCCCTTTCGCTTCCTTTTCCTGCCTGTGCCGCTTCTAGAAGCCGGCCGCAGGTTGCCAGGAGGTGACATGGAAGAGGAGGAACTCAGTGACCTCTCCCTCTCCTGCGTTCCTCCAAGCCGCTGCTCTGAAGGACACCGTGCATGGGCATGCATGCGTGTGTGCGCACATGGGTGTTGGCGTGGGACCAGAGAGCCGAGCTCACAGGGCAGATTGAACTCTTCAAGTCAGAAAAACGTCTGAGCGTCCGGGAGTCACAGAGACTCCCCTCCTCCATCCCCTTCAGCATTCACACTGCGTCCCCCCAGACAACACAGCAATAAATGGTTTGGTTGCGTGGACACAGCGGCCCTGTTCGCCACTCTTCGTGTCCTCCTGTGCAGGACTCCACTGCTCATTCAGGCCCATCTTCCTCCCCAAGAAAGACACATTCCTTTTCCAGCACTGGAGTGGAGGGAGGTGGTGTCCTGGGCAGGGGGGGTGGCGATGGTGGTGGTAAGTAGAGACAGGCTCCGGCAGCGCACATCTGATGTTCCTCAGCCCCTGCCAGGAACCAGGCTCCTTCTTGGCCAAGCAACGCTTTCTGCCCAGCTTACCTACAGCTGAGAGCCAGCTAGCCTTGGGAGACGCTGGGAGAGAACGGGCCATCTGGAGCATCTGTGTGCAAGTCTCATTTTGGGGTGTTTATGTTGTGAGTTGTGTGAATGCTTTAGTGGACCTATTTTAAAAACCTGTCCCTAGGTGTATGTGTGTGGGGATGCTCTCAGGAAAGTAGCTGAGCGAACTCCAAGACAGAGCAAGTTGAAAACTCGGACAGGGCTGATGAGTGGCTCTTACCTCTTACCATGTCACAATCACTGGGTTTGCTTTTTACAATACCTGTGGAATGGGTGTCTCTGGGGGTGGGCCCAGAGTTGTTTTTAAAGCTCTCCAGGTGATTCTAATGGGCAGGGTCGAAAACTACTATAGGCTAAATAAAGTGGGAGCAAAGATTACCCTTTGACGGGGATATGGACTGGTGGGTCCCTCAGATACTGAGAGAAGTGAACCAAAGTGAAAGGGTTCGATTCCATCATGTGGGAGATGTTTGTCCTCAGATGGCACAAGAGGATTCCTACCACAGCCTAAGACAGAAAGACAAGATGGCAGCCAAGAGAGGATGGGAAAGGGGGCCATCAGTGTCAGAGTGGAGTTACCTCAGAAGGGAAGCCTAGTCAAGCGTTCCCTTGCTCAGAACCAGAGAACTGTATTACATGCAGTGGGCAGCACACGATATATTTTCTTTGTTCACTTCCTGTGGTTTTCCCTTAAGTTTTAGTAAAGTTCTTTTTTAAAAAAATGATTTTTATCATGATTCTGCTGGGCTGAGGGGAAAGGAATAAAGGGTTTTGGTCTGGCTTGGGCTGGAGTTGTAGAAAGGCAGAGGCAGGAGCCTGGAGGCCAGCAGAGCGATGCCGGGAGGGAACAGGGAAGCTCAAGGAGATGAAACCCCGCCAAGAGGCAGGACCAGCTTCTACTTTACAGCTCCTTGCCCACCTGAAGCTTCCGGTGTTCTCACTGCTCAAACCCCAGAGGGGATGTGGACACATCCTGCCCTGGCAGGCAAGAGGAAGAGAGCCCCAGTGGACCACAGAGGCTATGGTGGACGGCAGGAAGCCTGCCCACCCCAGTCACCCGCAGTCTGGGACACGAGCTTGCTGTCTGGGAAGACCTGGGTGGCTGTGGTGGGACAAGGGGAGGAGCTTCTTTCTTGATACAGTCCCCCCTTCCTGCTCACTTCCTCCCCCCACAGAGACATTTAGGCAGGAAGGCAAAGCAAGTGCCACCTATTTACTCAGCAAGGGGCCCACTCCCTTGGAATGACCTCCCCCAGCAACCCAAGTCCGTATTCTAAGTGCCTGAGAATCTGGATGTAGGCCTTTACTGAGGCAAGCATGGAAAATGATGAGTAGGTGCCCTCTCAGGTTCAGAAAGTTCTCACATCCCCTTAGGGAGTAGTGCCCTCATCGTGCCCACAGGGCAATTAGATCCTTGAGCTCTGAACTCCTTGTTTGGTTAAAGGCACTGTCCTTCTGGTGCAATGCGGGGACCTGCTCCACAGAGAAGGAAATTACCCTGAGAACTAGGAGAATCACCTGCTCCTAAGGCAACAAGACCCCTGACTGCCAACTTCCTGCCTCCCTCAGAGGAAGGCAGAGCCGTGGTGGGGGAGGGGAGGGCCCAGGAGCCTGGCTCCTTGCGCAACGATGGCACCTTCCTATCTGTTGACTGGGACAACAGATGATTCCTGAAGTCTCTGTAAGAGCTGGCTTTGTAGGTCTTCCTCCATCACCTTCCACCAAAAAAAGTTCTCACCCCGAACCTTTGGGGGCTCACTCTGCATACCTGGGTTCCGAAAAGCCACAGTCACCAGCACATTCAGGCAGATGCCATCTGCATGCTCTTTGCCCAGATGCTGCAGTCCAAGCAACCCCTTGGTCTCCACTGCCAAGTGGGGCAGGGCCAGACACCCCTGTAGCAGCCGCAGGACGGCCATCTTGATGCCACCCCTTTGCTCCATGGGAGTGAGGCCGCAGGCGGTGATGGGCAAGTGAGGCATCCCCACCGTGCCCACCAGCACCCACACCGTCTGGACGCTGGTAAAGGTGGCCACGAGCCGCTGGCAGACCAGACTGCAGGGAAGCTCCTGGGGCAGAGTAAGAGGGTGCCTGGCTTGCTGGCGGTACTGGGCGGCTAGCTCTACCAGGTGCAGAATGTCCTGGGCTCGCAGCGGAGTGGGCAGGGAGGTTCGTGGGTACCAGCCAGCCTGCAGGGACTCTGCATCTGCCTCCTTGGAAGTCTTGAGAATTCCACCTGGAGGGGATGTCGAGGATGGGGTGGGGGAAAGGGTGTCTGTTGAGAGAAGTGCTGGGTCCGGCAGATTAAACGGCCACCCAGGCATTCCAGCCCTGACCTACACCAGGGTTGGGGTTGGTAGGGGTTGGTAGGGGCTGGGAGTCAAATCCACAGGCTGGAGATGCCAGGCTTGTACCAGACAGACTAGGGGCTCATCTCACCAGAGGACAAGCTGGGGGAAAGGTGTCAGCTGCCCCCTGCCAAACACTGCCACCAGGTGGGCCATACCTGTGGCTCGAGCGAGGAACACAAAGCGGATCCAGGAGGGGCCCCGCTCCTCCACAGACAGCAATGTCAGAGGCTCACAGTGCAGCCCGGCCTCCTCCTTCACCTCCCGCTGCAGTGCCTCCACGATGGTCTCCCCAGGCTCCATTCTCCCCGCGGGTAGGTACCAAGACCCACGGCACTCTTTCTTGGCCTCCTGGATCAGTAGCACCTCATCCTGAGGGGAGAGAGAGGAGCCTCGCTGGGAACCTTCCCTTGCCCTGGGGTTAGATCCTATCTCAAACACAGTCACCCAACACCCCCTTACTGGTGCACACCTCAAACTGATGAGCTCTCCAGGGAGTTGGCCCTTGTGTGCCTGGGGGCCGCAGCTGTCTCGTTCTGCAATTTATCCCTCTGCATTCAGACTTCCATTTCAGAAAGGGGCTGAGATTCCCGGGAGCTGTTTCAGGGGCTAGGGATTAGGCCCCACAGTGAGGTTTGCCATGTGTCCTGCACTGACTCCTGTCTATATGCCACATGTGTCTCTGTGTACCCCTCACCTCCCCTGGTGATTTACAAACCGCTTGTGGCAGGGCCTCACACTGGGGCCTAGGCTTTACAACACCCCCCAGCCCCATACAACTCCTACCTATGGCCCTGGCCCCTTCTAGCTGGCGTTGCAGCAACTTGCACCAGGATCAGCACGAAAAGAGCACCACACAGTGGGACAGAAGGTCTGATAATAAGCGCCAGGCGTGCCATTACTGTCCAAGGGGCTCAGAGGAGGTCTCTGAGGCACTGGGCAGATCTTTGAGCCCACTAGCGGCAGGCACTGTGCTAGATTCTGGGGAAAGGGGAATAGGACAGGCCTCTTCTCAAGACACTGAGGCCTAGCGGGAGGAAATAAGCAGGCTCCCGGGCCTCAGATTCCTCTTCAGTACAGGGGGACAATCTCAGGGCTGGGCCGCACAAGGCTCAGATGGTAAGTGTGAGTGAGAGTGCTTTGCAAAACTGGGAGGCACCACGCACCAAGAAGTGGTGGCTGCTGCCGGCAGGTCCTCTGTCCCCACCGGGGCTGGCTGCGCGCTGCGGAGGGCCGGGCGCCGGGCCCAGCCGGCGGACGCTCACCTGCTCGTTGAGGAACACGGCCAGCACCACGTAGCAGACGTTCTTCCGCAGCCGCACGGGCGCCAGGGGCTCCCCGGCCGGCTCCGAGTCGCAGCTGTGCACACTCAGCCCCTGGCCCCCCAACACCGCCGCCAGCGCCCCCGCCAGGCCCTCCGATGCCATCGGGTCCCCTGGGAGGCGGCAGACGGGCCCCCGCAGACCGACCGCGCCGGGCAGGGTGGGACACGGGTGAGACAGCGGTCCGCCGCCGTCGCCCCCTCCCCCTGCCGACTCGGGCCAGGCGCGCTCGCGAACGCGGAAGCGCCGGCGAGCCCTCCGCTGATAGGCTACGCGTCACCGCGGCCTGCCCGGATTGGCTGGCTCGCGTCGGTCATGGCGGGGGCGGGCGCAGTCCGTGAACGGGTTAGGAACCGGGCCTGGGAGGTGGGCGCCGCGGACCGGCTTCTGCTTCTCTCTCAGTTATCCGAACCCTCCCCCGACCCCCCCCCCCCCCCGCTCCGGACATTTCTAGCCACCAACCTCGCTAATTCCTCCAGCAGGCACTTGTAGGCGCGGGCTCCGACGATGACGTCATCCTGCCTGTGGGCTGCGGAGCGCCACTGTGGCCAGCGACAGTGACGTCACAACAAGCCAGATGACATCACGGAGGCCCCGGGGCCGTGGCTGGGACCCACTGTTCAACTTTGGGCATACACCTACCGTGGCATTGCCCAAATCGATCACTTCCCAAATAACTTTTCTTCACTAAAAATGTACTGCATGTCACCATGGCAGGGGGAACATTAGCTCCTGCCTTGGAGGAGAGTCTGACCTCGAGGAGGTGGACATAGACATATAATAAAACATCAACTGAGGGTTATAAGCCAAGTGCTAAATGAATGGCTTGGGCAAGAGGTGTGACAGGTGCTCAGAAGAGAGAGGGAGCAGGGCTGGGATGGTCAAGGTGTGGCTGGCCATGGGAGGAGGGCATTTGGGGCAGAAAGAGCCTCCATCGGTGTCCTGGCCCCTTGCCCACTGCATTTCCCAAGCAGTTTTGGGGCCCTCTCCACTGAAGACTGAGAGCCCTGCTAGGGCAGGGACCAGGTCCTGCTCCTTCATCTTTGTTCCCCCCCACAACC